TCTCAGCCTTCCGACTCCACAGAAGCAAAACTGAACGGCGGGAGCGACCTGCCTTGTCTCAGATTCTTGTGAGGGGATTCCGCGTCCCTCCTGAAGTGAGGGGATTTCGCGTCCCTCCTGAAGTGAGGGGATTCCGCATCCCTCCAGAGGGGGAGGGGAATGTCTTCCGACTCCCCTGGCCCGTGGTCCTTCAGCAGTGCGTCCACCTAGACCGCTTCGGGCACTACAGAATTTCTGAAATGAGCTCACACAGGACAGAACATATAACACACAGAACAGAATACACAACACACAGACACTTACCGCGGTCAGTCAGACTCTCCGGATCGGGGGTCCCTCGAGGGTCTTGGGGATCCCGGACGAGCCCCCAAATATGGGCTTGGTGTCTCTTCAAGGTCCCCAGGTCCAAGGTCCCGGAGAAGAGGGGCTGGACAGTCCCAGGACCCCAGAAGCCACAATAGTGTGAGGCCTTGACATAAGCCCCACAGCCCAGTCCCCTCAGCGGCTCTGCATCCGCAGGAACCTGTGGGAACTAAAGGGCTGTTGAGGGCCCTACCCCAGCCCCGGGGCCCAGTGATGACCGCATTCCTCAGGGCTCAATGTCCCTCTTTTGTTCACAACCACCCACAGCCCCATTCGCCCTGAGAATGAAAGTAAAACTCCTCACAGGAACCCTCCTCTCATCCTCTTTGTCGTCTTTAGACACAAACCAGGCCTGGGTGTCCCCACCTCCCGGCTCAGTGCCACCCACAGCCTTACTCAGCGGCACCGCAGCCCGTCTCCCTCCTCCCCTCTCACACCCTGTGCCACCCACGAGGACTCACTGTTCTGGACGCTAAGACCTGGGCTTCGGAACCTGAGTGGCGAGGGCACCCGAGGCTGGAGGGTTCGATGGGGTGAGGCTGAGTGGACTCTGTCAGCGGAGAGGAGTCGGGGAGGCAAGGAGACCCCAATCCCGTGGGTTGAGGATCAATAAGCCTCAGAGACACCCTGCCCAGTGGCGACGCTGCCTCCAACACCTCCTACTCACTACCAGAGCGCTGAAGCTTGTGAGTCCATGAACCCACAGGAACCTTCAAAATGACCGGCAGAGGAGTACGCAGGAAGTCCCGCCCTAACCAGGTGTGCAGGCACCAAAATGCTCCTAACCAGTCAGACTCGGGCGCAGTGCTTTCTGGGTAATGTAGTTTTTCCAATCCCAAAGGAGGGCTAATCCCAGTCAATGACTTTGGTGTGTATTGGTGTTGAGGCACCACATCTGGTGCTGAAGGACGACATGGGACTGGAGGTGTGCTCAACTGGTCCAAACTGACAGATCTCACAGGGGAGGGGGAAGAAGAGCCTTGAAATAGATCCACCAAAGAGTATATATATACAGGGAGAAAAGGGAGACATCTGTAATACTATCAACAATGAAAAATACAGCCAAAACCGGTTTGGCTCAGTGGATAGAGCGTCGGCCTGCGGACTGAGGGGTCCCGGGTTCGATTCCGGTCAGGGGCATGTACCTGGGTTGCGGGCACATCCCCAGTAGGAGATGTGCAGGAGGCAGCTGATCGATGTCTCTCTCTCATCGATGTTTCTAACTCTCTATCTCTCTCCCTTCCTCTCTGTAAAAAATCAATAAAATATATTTAAAAAAAAAAAAAACAATGAAAAATACATATATTTAAAAAATGTTTTTAAATACTATAGCCCAGCTGGTGGATCTCAGTGGCTGAGCACCAACCTATGAACCAGGAGATCATGGTTCTATTCATGGTCAAGCACATATATGGGTTGCAGGCTCAATTCCCAGGGAGAAGGGAGGTACAGGAAGCAGCCTTTTAGTGATTTTCTCTCATCATTTATGTTTCTATCTCTCTCTTTCTCCCTGATATCAATAAAATATATTTTGAATGTACATTTTAAAATCAATTATACTTAAAACAAAATTTTAAATAAGGTTTAAAACTTGCCCCTTCCCAATTGTTTTACTAGTTTATAATGAATGTTCTTGAGTATATTTGTTTCTACTCTATCCGTGTGTTGGAAATAAAGCATCATGATGTACTACTGTAGTATCTTATCATGCCCATATTCAGTGCCTTAAAGTTGGCACTTTGAAGCTGACAATGAGAGTATTTACACCAGGGAAATTGACAAATACCTTGACTTCACTTATTGTATTATTGAATGCTTAAACTTAGAAAAGAATGGAGAAGAATGTTAGCAATGCAGATTAACTTAAAAGTGTATCTTACAAGTGGGATTTAATGGCCTTTAGGATTAAATTTATGGAAGAACATGCCCAGCCAGTGTGGCTCAGCTGTTGAACATCAAACCAGGAACCAAGTGGTCGTTGGTTCGAAACCCAGTCAGGGCACATGTCTGGGTTGTGAGCTCGATCTGCAGTGTGTGTTGTGCTGGAGGCAGCCAATGGGTCATGTTTCTCTTGCTCTTTGATGTTTCTATTTCTTTATCAATCTTCCTTCCTCTAAAAACAATAAAAACAGATTTTAAGATAAATAGATAGGGAGCCACTGTGGAAGCTTGCAGCTCTGTGGTGCAGCTAGGCCACAGTGATGACCCTGCCGCCAGGAGGCACTCAGTGGCTTGTCTTTGTCCTGCTCTTCCCTCTGCTCACTGACAGCGCAGCCTCACTCATCTAGGATCTCAGACTCATCTAGGATCTCAGGGAGCCCCACAGCCAGGCTGTCAACATCCACATGCACCCGTGGAGCAACCTCTGAACTACGGGTCACTTCATGGGCAAGAAGAGTCCGGAGGCCCCTGGCTCATCCCTGCTAGAGACAGCTCCCCACATCTCTCTGGGGGACCAGAGACTGCAGATGAGTCATGATCTGCTCAGGATTCTCCTGCTGAAGCAGCTCTGGGCATGAGCTCCAGCAGCCCAGCACCTCACACCCAGTATAGGAGGCCGCTGGTGTAAATGCTGAAGAAATGGTGTCATTAACGAGGAAGACATAACTATGTGGCTTAGAATGTGTACACCCTGGGAAGGTGCTGAAAGGGACCCAGTAGTGGCCCCATCCGGATGTAAATTCTGGGCTCAAATCTCTGTTACTGCACTAATATGCTATCTGTTAGGGTCACCATGTATATCGTCAGTGCATACACCAATTATGTCTCTGCTGTAGTTTTTGCTTCCCTGTTGAAGTGAATAAAACCCTGCTCTTTACAAAATAAATGAATGAATAAATTAATTAATGTGTGGAAAACAATTTTGCTTCCAATATTCAAAACCTATGATTGCATATGGCAAAGAATTCATGGAATCACTGAGGAATGAGTGAAATTCAAACATACATGTTAGATGCTACACAGGACCCCTTTACCTGAAAATAATAAATTTACTTAAACAATTAGAAAAGATTTTAAGCTGACATTTTAACAAAAGAGATATAGACAGTGTAAATAAACCCATGAGAAAACACTCACTATAAAAATTTCTTAGCTAAATGGAATTAAAAGGAAAGTGAGTTAACACTCTATTCATTTCCGGGGCTACTATTTGAAAAGGTTAATCACTGCATGTGCTGGCAGGGTAGCAGAAAAACTAGAATTTTTATATACTGTGGGTTTGTGGGAAGGCAAAGAGAATGACTCTGCTGGGTCAGTTCCGCATATCTTAAATGTAAAACATTCACCTACATGAAAACAGTTTGAGAAGTAAAACAAACATTTATATAGAGAACTAAAGGAAATATTCTCAGCGGATTTATTTATAATACCACAAACCTGGAAATAACCAAAACCATAGACAGACCAATAGATAAAGTGGTACCCATAGAACACAGTTCTTCTCAGCAATAAAAAAAAAAACTTTAACTATCCACATGAACATTATTGTTGAATCACAAACTGTGTAGCATGGAGGAAACCAGTGTTTGTTAAAGACTACACACCTTCTAGTGCTTATAAAATTATGAAAATTGCCCTAACCAGTTTGGCTCAGTGGGTAGAGCATCAGCCTGTGGATTAAAGGATCCCAGGTTCGATTCCTGTCAAGGGCATGTACCTTGGTTGTAGACACATCCCCAGTAAGGGGTGTGCAGGAAGCAGCGGATCGATGTTTCTCTATCCCTATCCCTTCCTCTCTGTAAAAAATCAATAAAATAAAATAAAAATTATGAAAATTACAAACTATTCTATTATAAAGGGAGGAAAATGCATGACTGCATGGAGAGCTAAGAAAGGCAGCAAGTGAGACTATAAAAGGGCAGTAAGAATATACAGGATGTGGCAAGAGTAGGGGTAGAGTTGTTGGTATGGAAATTAATACAATAATTAATAAGTAATATAGCAATATTCTTCCCTGCCAGTGAGCCTCAGTTGGTTGGGCACCATCCCTTGCCCTGAAAAGCCTGGGGTTCCATTCCTGCCTGGAAGACCTGTAGGTGGCGTGAGGGAGGCAGCAGTTAGCTGCATCTTTTTCATATTGCCATTTCTTTCTTTCTTTCTTTTTTTTTAAAAAAAATATATTTTATTGCTTTTTTACAGAGAGAAAGGGAGAGGGACAGAGTTAGATACATTGATGAAAGAAAAAAATGGATCAGCTGCCTCCTGCACACTCCCTACTGGGGATGTGCCCGCAACCAAGGTACATGCCCTTGACCGGAATCGAACCTGGGACCCTTGAGTCCGCAGGCCGATGCTCTATCCACTGAGCCAAACTGGTTAGGTCCCTATCGCCATTTCTCATTCTCTGTCACCCTCCCTTCAAAAAAAGTCAATAAGTTATTTTAAAGATATATAAAATACTTATTTTGCCCTAACCCAGCGGTTCTCAACCTGTGGGTCACGACCCCTTTGGCGGTCGAACGACCCTTTCACAGGGGTCGCCTAAGACCATCCTGCATATCAGATATTTACATTACGATTCATGACAGTAACAACATTATAGTTATGAAGTAGCAACGAAAATAATTTTAGGGTTGGATCACAACATGAGGAACTGTATTTAAAGGGTCAGAAGTTTGAGAACCACTGCACCTGTATGGGGGTAAGAGATAAGTTTATTTCACAAGTGATGGTTTTACATCTTGATCCATATGTCCAAGCTCACCAAATAGTACACATGAGAAAAGTACATTTTGTTACATTTCAGTTATAAAGATACCTAAATAAAGTCTTTAAAGTACTTTCAAAAAAAGACCTAGATATTCCTATCTTGTTAGAAAATTAAAATGGCAATCCTATATGGGCTCTACCATCTCTTTCCTAATTTCCTGAGAGGACTGGCCATGTCTCAATGGCAGCAAATATTGTCAAGCAGTGAAGACTATTGCCATCAGAATCAAAAGGAATCACAAAAGACACATCCTGGGACTGATTACAGGCTTATCCTGCCTCTAGCTTTGAGGTGTTGCCTGCTGAGCAAACCCTGAGGTGAACACCCTAGATGGGTGAAGGGAAGCCAAAAAACTATCACATTATTTTTTCTGCCACTTATTTCAGCCACAGGAGACAGTGATGAAGGCCCTGAGAATGTCTGTACACAAAGATCACACAAGCCACAGCCCACTGACCATTTGGGGATAACGTTGAGAAGAGGCACTTTTCATCTAATTTACTCCAGTGTTTCCCACTCACTATGAACAGTGTTCCTGTCTAATTGTGGTTCAATCTAAACCTCAGTGTCTTACAACAAATGACACCAGTCTATGAAATTTTGTACATTATGGCACATGGCTCCTCTACTGTAGATAGGTAAGAATCCCCCAAAACACTGCTGAGAATTATGTAATAAATGCTGAGAACAGAGAATAAAATTCATATTGTTCACAGAAGCACAACAAAGGCCTCCTTTTCTGGGTGACCATGACATCACCAATAATAGAGGCACCAGGCTTCAAATTAGAACCACAAAGTCATGCACACTTTCTCTCAGTGCCTTGATCAGCAACACAAAATAAGCCAATATTGGACAAAGAGTGCTGTTCTGAAATCATGCTGTGCCTTCCATAGCACAAGTCTGGGACTCCAACATATCTGTTCACCTCTCCATGCTGACAGAGGACTATTTTTTTTTTTTCAATCATTCTGGGGAATTAAAAGAATCAAAACAATTAAAGGTAGAAAAGAAAAAAAACCCTTTACAAAAAGATCATAAACCAGAGCAGAGGACAGCAAGAGGTTTGCAGGATGGTGAATAGGAACCTGAAACAATTCATCACAGAATAAAGTGAGAACCACAATGTCCCTGAAAGAGGCAGCACTTCTTAGTTAAGATTGGGGGCTCTGGACAAAACCTGGGTCAGGTCAATTTTCTAGTCAGAGAGTAAGGAATGAAGATACAGCCAAGAGCTGAAAGTATTCATAAATTTCTCAAGCACAAGGGACAACACAGAATTCCTCTTCACTGAGCACACAGGGGTGGTGACTGATGCACACTGTTCAGGTGAGCCAGGTGGTGAGATTATTTCATCCACAAATACTCGCAGTGATATCAATGAGGTAGGAGTCCACAGAAGTTAGCAAGTGCAATGCAGCTCCTTCAAGCCTCACTTGTACCTCAAACTTATGAGGAATTTCGCACGGTGTATGTTCAGATAAAAGCGGTTTATACTCAGGTAAATGGATTTAACTCTCCTGCAGTGTTGTAGAGAAAGATAAAACGTGCCCTCCACATTTAAGCCTTTTCTCCAATGTGAACTCTCAGATGTCTAACAAGGCTAAGTTTGCTGCTAAAACATTTCCTACATTTACTACACTCATGAGGCCTTTCTTCAGTGTGACTTCTGTGGTGGTCCATGAGAGAGCATCATTCTCTAAAGAACTTCCCACAATCACTACACTCCTACGGCTTTTCTCCAGTATGAACTATGTGGTGTTGAATAAGGTTAGACTTTCGTCTAAAGAACTTCCCACAATCACTACACTCATATGTGTTTTCTCCAGTGTGAACTCTGTGGTGTGAAATGAGGTAGGATCTTTGTCCAAAGGACTACCCACAATCAGTACACTCATAGGGCTTTTCTCTATTATGAGTTCTGTGGTGGTCCATGAGCGTAGGTCTATGTCTAAAGGACTTTCCACAATAACTGCACTCAAAAGGTTTTTCTCCAGTATGAACTCTGTGGTGTCGAGTAAGGGTAGACTTCAGTCTAAAGAACTTCCCACAATCCCTACATTCAAAAGGTTTTTCACCAGTGTGAATTCTCTTGTGTTCAGAGAGGTCACTGCTTGTCCTGAAAGACTTACCACAATCAGTACACTCATAGGGTTTTTCTCCAGTGTGAATTCTCTTGTGGTTAACGAGCGTATTGTTGCTCCTAAAAGATTTCCCACAATCAGTACACTCATAGGGCTTTTCTCCAGTGTGAATTCTCTTGTGGTTAAGCAGCTTACTATTTCTCCTAAAAGATTTCCCACAATCAGTACACTCATAGGGTTTTTCTCCAGTGTGAACACGGTGGTGCTCAGTGAGCTGAGAGCTTTGCCTAAAGGACTTTCTGCAATCACTACACTCATAGGGTTTTTCTCCAGTGTGAACTCTGTGGTGTGAAATGAGGTCGGACCTTTGTCCAAAGGACTTCCCACAATCAGTACACTCATAGGGCTTTTCCCTAGTGTGAATTCTTCCATGTCGAAGGAGGTGAAAGATTCGTTTAAAAACTTTCCCACATTTGTCACATTCATATTTCACTTCTCCAGAGCAGGCACCCTGATGATGAACAACTTTCTGCTTGTGGCTGCCAAATTTCTCACAGTTGCAAGTCTGCTGAAAACTTTTTCCACCAAGATACTCCTGTGAAATCTCACTTCCACTGTGTGGCTTTTCAGTGTTTAGAGGGGCCTGGTGCTGGGGAAGCCCTGAGGTGACTGGGAAGACTTTCCCAACCTCCCTACTGGTTGAAGGCACCCCTGATAAATAGAAGCTGCACCTGGTCACAAAGGAGGCCCTGTCCATGTCTTCTTTCCAGGGCTTCTCTCCACTGCCATCCCTCTGTTGCTGGTGAGGGTTTGCACTGAAACAGAAGTCTCTCACACAAGCATCACTGAAGAAGGCTTTCTGCTCAAAGTCTGCTGCTTGGGACTCAGTCAGGTGCAGAATGTCTTTGAACAATGAGAAACACCGCTTACACAGATGGGTACTCTGGGTTGCTGGAGCTGTCTTAGAAGCTCTGACCTGTGACTCTCCTTGTATAGATACGAAAGGTACAGGACGGACCTCCTCATCATCCATTTTATGCCAACAATCTGAAACGAGAGAATTGAGGAGGAACTGAATGTTGACTGTGGTGACAGGGGAAGTCCCATTGCTAAAGTGTTTTGCACATAATACATCAGTTCTATGTAATTGTCTGAAAATAAGAGATATGCAGGAAGGATATAAGAAGCTTCTGGGAAGGTCTGGGCCTCTGAAGGTCAAATATCAGTGAAGGCCTCACCAGAAACTTGACACACACATGGCAAGACCACGTGGAAGAGAAGATGCATCCCAAGCTCATTCTTCTGCTAACAGTGCTCAGCAGGGCTGGTCTGCTGATGACACGGACAAACTGTGCAGAAGGTTGGTTATGTCTTATTCCAAGTGAAATTTAATAAAAGACTAGTAGGTGTTCGAGGACTACGTAAGCAGGTAGGGGCATCTCATAACACATGTGCAGGTCAATGTAGGAGAATATGGCACAGGGAGCAGTGCAGAGGGACAGGTGATGCAAAAAAATGACAAAGGTGACAGTAACAACACCAGGAAGTCACAGATGAAATGCAAGTCAGGAAAGTGTCAACTATGGGGAGAGAAGGCAGAAATGGGGTGTAGCCAATGGCACCTGCCCCTAAACACTGTTGAAAATTAGCTGGTTCCTGCCCTAGCTGGTTTTGCTCAGGGGATAGAGCTTCAGCCTGTGAACTGAAAGGTCCCAGGTTCGATTCTGGTCAAGGCACATGCCCGGGGTTGTGGGCTCAATCCCCAGTGGGGGACTTGCAGGAGGCAGCCGATCCATGATCCTCTCTCATCATGGATGTTTCTATCTCTCTCTTCCTCTTCCTTCCTCTCTGAAATCAATAAAAATGTATTTAAAAAGTAAAAAATAAAAAAATAAATTAGCTGGTTCCTGGTATCATCTGACCACCACCAGTATGTCATACCTTCCCCCCAGTTGTCACTTAGCATGGCCAGATCTCCTCTGAGACCATCTTGCATGTTCACCCTGTGAGGAAACCAGATTTTCCCTGAATCTTCTACTCTACTGATGCATAAACCCTAAAAATTCCACATATTGATGAAAGACAACGGAGGAGAGCAGCCAGCTCTGTCCCAGAGCAATTAGGCCCACAATAGTACTCAGCTAAGGTAATATTACAAACAACAATTGAAGAAGGATCTAACAAGCATAGCCTATGGTTTATGTAAGTGAAGAACATAACTTGGCACAGGCTGTCATAAAGCACCTTTCCCTAGAGCAGTGGTCGGCAAACTGCGGCTTGTGAGCCAGATGCTCTTTGGCCCCTTGAGTGTAGCTCTTCCACAAAATACTGACTTCTGCGCATGGGCCACAAAGTTTCAATCGCACTGTACGTGCGCGCCTGCACGTGGTATTTTGTGGAAGAGACATACTCAAGGGGCCAAAGAGCCGCATGTGTCTCCCGAGCCGCCGTTTACCGACTACTGCCCTAGAGAAAGGGGGAAGAAGGGAATGAATGTGGGTATTGTCACCTTCCCAGGGAGAGGAAGAGTAATAGGGGACCCATTAAGCTGCCTGTAATATTCCCGATCCCAGACACTTTCTGCACTTTTTGAGGCAATGTGTGTCACGGATTTTCATAGAGTCCATTGGTCAGGGCTGTCCACACAGCTCAGCACCAGCAGCCACAGCACATTTGATAAGACAGGGGCAGAAATTAGCAGAACACTAGGTCTGGCTGTGGGAGAGAGAAAGCTATGTTTTTAGAATAAAGGAAGAAAGAGCATCACCTCAGGACACTGGGACAATGTGAAGCTCTTACCTGCACATGAGACAAGTGCAAACACTTCCAGCATCACATCGCAGTACAGAAGTCTCTGAGCCTCATCAAGGAGACCCCACTCCTCCTGAGAGAAGGCTATGGCCACGTCCTCAAAGTCCATATCCTGTCATAATAGGGAGAGTTCAGTCCATGATCAGCTTCTCTCCTAGGCTTTACTTTCGTCATACTTCTCACTCTCCATATCCATCTGCTCCCTCCACTCCCACATCACAGAAAATAGCAGGTCTTGCATTCAACAGAGTCACTCGCTTCTTATATTCCTACTGATACTGTGTCATCCCACAGCAATAGAGCAGATACCCAGATTGATTATACCTGACCTCAGGACCTCACATTTAGGGTCAATGCAATGGGTGTCACCAACATAGGGTACAGATAAATGTTGGCCGTAAAGCGAGATGTGAGTGATTTGACACTGGTCTTGTGGGGCAATATCCTTGTTGTCTAACAGATTCTCCTTCCAAGACCCCGAAAAACAAGGATCACTCGTAACCCTTTCTATTCCAGTCCTAGGGTGCTGAGGCCAACACTTTCTGCTACCTGTTCCACATAATTCTTCCTATCCCACTTCTCTCATACAGCTTCATTCCCAGAGTCACAACTTCAAAGAAAACACATATATGCCATGAAGAGGAGGGGATGTTTTCTAACCACCTTCTTTTCAACATTCTAACTCACCTCCTCTGTAATGTATTCCTCTCTTACCCTTCTCCCTTCCCCATGTCAGTAGAGATATTCAAGCCCAGGTGACACTGATGTATGCTATCCCATTCCTATTGATCATAGTATCAGCCCAACAACAACAGGCAGGTGTGCACCTATATGACACCTAAATACTGGACCTGGCATGCAGCGCCACAACACCTGTCTTTTCAGGAGTTACCCTAAAATTGTCCATGTTGTATCATCCAGTTATCACCAGAAATGGACTCAACCTTCATTGCCTCTATGTCAATATAAGGGATCTGTGGCCATCAATTCACATTTGCTCTCCAAAAGCACATCACTCCTTCTCCCACACCTCTCTCACACCTGCACTCCCATAGCCCCAGCTCCCATAGACATCTCCTTGGTCTCAGTCATTACTCAGCATGTGTATTCCAGAGACTGCATGGCAAGTTCAAACAGTATCAAGTACTACCCTGACTCTGAATGCCCACACCCAAGACATAGCCTTCAGTTAAGGTATTAGGCCTCCCTCCCAACTTGTTTTTTCCTTCAACCTCACCTATTGAGAACCACATCAGATCTCAGTTATCCAGAGCCCACCTCTACTGGTGCTGCACTTGATGCCCCTTCTCCACTCACAGCCTTCAGTACTCAAGTCCCACTGCCTATGGGCTTCTACCCCATGCCCAGTGAGTCTCACCGATGCCCACTCATGCCCATCAGCAAATCAACCAAACTGGATGCAACAAACCAGGCCACACAAAGGGTCACAAGAAATCCTGATGAGTGTTTAAGAAGTAAATATGCCCCAGCCACAGTCTCACCTTTTTTGAATTACTCTTCCACCTCCAACAAAAAAAAAAAGGTGATCTACAAATCCTCCCTGGTTCATACTCTTTTACTATTTTTTTAAGTAGTCTTCATCTTGAACTACTCCTCAGAGTTCCAAATGGTCATGAACTGGTCTCTGAAAAATCTCATATCCTAATAGGAAAAAATAAAAGATTTTATATTTCTCATGAACATTACTTTTCCCACTATGACTTTCTCCATCTCAGTTGATGGTGCTTTCATACCTTCAGGTGCTAAATCCAAACCTTTACATCATCTCTGATTCTCAACCCTCTCTCCAATCCGAAAAATTAGAAAATCTTTGTGGCCACACCTAAATCACTGAACCAAAATGCAACTGCTTCTTCCACATCCAAAACCACCATTGTGCTCCAGTTACCATCACGCTCACCAACACTATCACAGCAGCTTCATCCTGGGCTTCCTACCACCGTCCTCACACCCATACTGTGCATCATGCTGCAGTCACAGGGAGTCTAATGAGACCTGGGACAGATCACCTGCTCTACTGACCAATTACCCCAATGACCCCATCACCAGCAGAACAGAAACCCAAGTGGTCACAAAGCTCCTCTGCACTTGATCCCGGTCCTACTGATTCCAGTTCCTCTTTTAAAAAATGGACACCTGCTCGTCCCTGAATCAGCTGAGTCTTCACTCCAAGCCTTTGCACATTCTGGAACCCATGCATGGAAGGACCTGTCACACACAATTCCACTGGCTGCCAAAATCAGGTGCCACTCATATGACCCTTGACCTGGACTTAGGGTTCTGGGCT